AGAGTTTCACTTCCTGAAACATGACTGTAAAAAAGATTTTCATCAAGTGACGTTATGTGAATTTTTTCGTTGTCTGGTTGTTAGCAGGATTGTTCAGCGCTCTGAGCAGATTACAGCCAGATGTTAGCAGAGGTGGAGGGGTTAGCTTCCAGGGAAACAAACTCCAACTCAACCACAAGTTTCTGGGTCTCAAGCAAAAATTAAACTAACTAAAACTGTAGGAAGCGACACATGAGAGCAAAAAGTTCTGTGTGTCCGGTTCTCCGAGTCTCGGACTCTGTGAAGCAGCAGCACTTTGTCGGGATCAGCGAGGACTCTGCAGCTGGAGGAAGTTCATTTAGTCTTTATGATCTCAGAGGTCAGGCTGAGCTCTTTCCAGTAAGAGTACATTTATAGGGTTCAGGGTTTCAGAGACTTGCAGCTGTTCCTGCAACGGTACGTCCTGATTCAACAAACCCACAGAGTGAATCCAAGTATCAGACACTTCTTTACTGCACAGGACAGAAACCTCCCATCCAAAGCTAACATCTGCAGGATTATGACTGAACGCCTCTAAATCATAATCCTGGCTCGACGCAGGGACATCGTAGCGCTGTGGATCTGCTCGTATTGATTGATTGCTGGGTCAGGGATTCGTGCGTTGCAGAACGCACGAAAGATTGCTGCAATCTTTTGAAAGTTAGTGAGCAACTGTGGTTCGTGGGCTACAGCAGTCAGAAGGTCAGTGGTTCAATGCCCATCTACTGCAGTCTGCACGCTGTGTCCATCGGAGTGTGAGTGCATGCACGATGTTAGACGAGGCCGTTATGGGCTCGTGCATGATTGGCTGAAGAAGGCACACCAATAACAAAAAGCACACTTAGAGAGAAAAGCTGTAACTAGCAGCATGTTAACCATTTACCACACAGACCACACACAGGCTTAGCTCGACCACAGACGGCTTCTTCACTTTCTTCATCTGCTCCTCATTAGTGACATACAGTTTCAAATAGAGTAGAGTAGAGTAGAATAGAGTAGAATAGAGTAGAATAGAATAGAGTAGAGTAGAATAGAGTACTCTATTCTACTCTCTTCTACTCTCTTCTACTCTACTCTTTTCTACTCTACTCTATTCTACTCTTTTCTACTCTACTCTCTTCTACTCTACTCTCTTCTGTTCTACTCTAGAGTAGAGTAGAATAGAAGAGAGTAGAATAGAGTAGAATAGAAAAGAGTAGAGTAGAATAGAAAAGAGTAGAATAGAAAAGAGTAGAATAGAATAGAGTAGGATAGAATAGAGTAGAATAGAATAGAAAAGAGTAGAATAGAGTAGAGTAGAGTAGAATACTCTATTCTACTCTCTTCTATTCTACTCTAGAGTAGAATAGAAGAGAGTAGAATAGAGTAGAAAAGAGTAGAGTAGAATAGAGTAGAGTAGAGTAGAATAGAGTAGAGTAGAAAAGAGTAGAGTAGAAGAGAGTAGAGTAGAATAGAATAGAGTAGAATAGAAAAGAGTAGAATAGAGTAGAGTAGAATAGAATAGCCTTTTATTGTGCTGAACATGTACAACGAAACCAACGGTGCAGGTATAAAACAGAAAACAGAAGGATGACACACAGTAGAGGACAAACTGCTAATAGGAGTGACGTCACATGGCTCTGTCCATCTTTTAAATACAGTCTGTGTGAGCTGATGTGGCGTGGAGCCGTCACTGCAGTCTCCACACGTGTCTTGCGAGGTGGGAGTCCCACTGTGTTTACCAGCCATGATTTATTCGTCTTTTGCCGCCACAAAGAAGCCGCAGGCATGTAACGGTTTGAAAAACAGAGACCAGACATTAATCCAATTTGTGGATCCTTAATTAAAGCTGTTTCCTCATTACGCTGATAAACACGTTGGAATTTCTGCTGAATAAATTATAACATCTAAAGACAAGTTCTGTAAAATTGTAACTGAGTGACCTCGTCGGGCTCTGCGGCGGCTAATTAGCAGCGAGCACAGCGTTTTCCGTCCACGGGAAGCTCGGCACTTAAAGAGACGCCTGACTCGGCTGAACGTGGCCGCCGCTCCTCTGCAGCACTGTGTTAATTGCTCGGCCGACCTCGGGACCTTCTCCCGCCGATTCTTAACCTTAAGGAGGGAACTAAAGAAAGTGATGATTTAAATCAGTGCTGTGGGAGGCCAGACACGGGCTGCTCATCCTCTCTGATTCAACAAACCCCGAGAGAGGAGGGTGTGAAGGTGCAGCTGATCTGCGGATGGATCGAGAGGCTCGTCTGCGCTGCTGAAACGCCTCTCGGCTTGAATATTTCTTCATGAAGAAGCCACGCTGCAGCGGCTGAGTTCAAGTATTTAATGCACTGCAAAAAAAAGCCCGTCTAACCAGCGCTGGCTGCCTCGCTGCTTCAGTCTTTTTCACATTGAACACTCTCGCTGTTGACGAAGAACGCACTGACCTCGTGGTGAGGAGCGCTGGCGGATTTTGCAACTCGTCCAAAAGCCGAGGAGCGGGAAAGTTTGGAGATGTTGAAAGTTCACGTGTGATTTGCATGAATACTTCAGCACTAAAAAAAACACTCAGTTTGGTTTGTGAAGTGTGTTACGCAAGAAATGCAACGATAGCTGCGGCGAACACGGGAGCT